AACTACTAACCTGCAATTAGAATTGTCTGTCTACGAATGGTAATCTTAATGCAGCGGTTATGCAGATTTTGAAAAAATTTGAGCTGTCACTCATTTACATGCATATGATTGAGAGTGACGAATGAACCAAGGTTCAAACGCAGTGCTTACATGGTCAGTGAAAACACAACAAGGATGTGACTAGCAAGTCAAGAAGGAGTCAGGTTACTCGACCTTATCGTAATGCGCTTCAGAATAACCCTACCTCAATTAGGTCTTTTAAGGGTTGTATCGTGGTCGGGTTCACGGTTCGTGAAACAAAGGATATTTGGCTCAAATTTTGATTTGTACCCACCCCTTCTACGTGATGATCTCCGATCCTAAGGTTCAGTTAACCTGGCACAAGCACTCGCCTCTTCGAGAAGTATGTTGAATGGTAAGAACCACAGTTAAGGAATTCACAAGCTTTTCTTCCATAGTGATAGCTACTCCTTCTTCGCTTTGGTGTCTGTGTACACGACTTTGTGATTTGCTGGGGAAAATTTCTTTTTTTTAATCCCTTCTTTTTCATTCTTTTGATTCCCTAACTTTTGCCTGGACTGACTCATTTTGAGTTCTTTTCGATTTTTTCGATTTCTTTTGAAGTCCAGCGGGATGCCCTAATTTTTGCCTAAGTATTAGCTTTCTAGCTTTTCTTCCTTTTTTACTTAGCGGGCTTTCTTTCCTTTCTTTCTTTTGGAACAAAGTCGTGTGACACTGGTTGTCTTGATTGCTCCGAAAGGATTGTAACTGTCTCACTCCTGATTGGTGAGGTTTGACCTCTTGAAAGGTATAAACTGGTTGGTCCTCGACAGACAACGCTCCTCTGTAAGACTTGAATGCTCGGTCAAGCTAACTGACAACTACCCTGCCCCGGGTTAAGATGCGAGGGTTAAAAAGTCCTGAAAAAACTTCTGCTCCCTGGCTCGAAGTGTTTAACAAGGGACTAACTCCTTATATCTCCAGTGTTTGGGGGATTGAAACAATGCCTTGTACGTCATCGGTAAGGTCTTATCTGAAAGCATGCAATCATTGGTCATGAGTTTATTTTCGTCATCCTCCCTCCAATCTTTGCTAGTCACAGTGATAAAGTGGAGTGAATAAAATGCAAGTGTCAGTGCAATGCAGTAAATGAGCGACAGCGACGTGATTAATTCAAAAAAATGCATAGTCACTTTATTAATATCGCCATTCGAAACATACAATGTTTAAAAGCAAGTAGTAACTAACAGAAAAGAAACTACAAATGCACATGATATAAAAGTCTGAGGACTGCCACTGCTGAGGCGCCTGCCTGTCTGAACCACTGGCTTTTGCTGGGGAAAGCCCTTCTGAGTCTACGAGCTTAGACAGCTGAGCGGTTAGGGATGAACAAACAGAAATCCTTCTCGAAAGGAAATGCGATCCTGATCAATCAACTGCTGTACCTTCGCCTGGAATGCTTTACAATCTTCTGTTGAATGCCCCGGAGAGCCACCATGATAACCACACTGAACGTGGGGATTATACCCAGGAGGGTACGGTTCTGGAACTGGCTTAAGAGCTTTAGGTTCCACCAACGACTTCTGGATCAAAGACGGTAGCAGCTGGCTATACGGCATAGGCACTGGGTGAAAAGGAGCTTTCCTTCGTTCCAAGTTGTTGCGAGGTTTGTTCTGATTCTGACGCTGATTCTGATAACCTCGGCCACGAGTTCGCTGATTTGCAATGGAAGCGACATAAGATTCCTGATAGAGTGCCCCAGGCACGGCTGTCTGTTCAGTATAACAAGCCACGGGAGGTACTGATCTCTGATAAGATGATGAACCAACAAAATTCACTGATTCGCTTCGAGGATATTCAACCTTTGGCATGACTGAGTTGATCACAACTTCTTCTTCACTCTGATAGTCACAAGGGTATTCAGTTTCACCAGCTTGATCATATGAAGTAATCTGAATTTTCCCCATTCTTATGGAGTACTCAAGGCGTTCTCCT